CGGCGCTCTGCGAGGCCATCTGGAAGGGGCCAGCGCGGCAACCGCGCGCGGTGTCGCAGGTGGCTAGCCAGGCTGCGCGCAGAGTCTGAAGAGCTGTGGGCAGACGAGGTCGCCAGGCACATCGACGGCCTCAACGAGGGCCGCGACCTGTTCCTCAACGCGCGCGCCCAGTGTTTCGAGGGCGACGAGTACAGCCCCACAGAGACGATAATACCCGCCTCTCGGCAGCCGGTATCTTTGCAAGGGGGCCGTCTCGGGTGAGATCGGCAGTGCGCAACGTCGGGGCTCTGAAGGTCTCGCTGCGAAAGCCCCGAGGGAGCCCGAGCCCAAGAGGCGCCGCCGGCTTTGGCCTGAGTGCCTCGGAGAGCGCCCCAATAGGCCTTCTGTGGCTGAGCTGCGGAAAGTGATCTCGTCTTTCAAGCATCAGTCTGGGTCCAATTTTGACGGCATCCGCCCAGGTGAATTCAATATGATGGGTGAGCATGGCATCGAGGCGCTCATTGATTTGCTGATTGCTATCGGGCAGCAAGCAGATTGGCCCAGCTTCACCACCAAGATGGCCTTCATTCCCAAGGCAGATGAGGCCTTCGACCCATCGCGCCATTGGCAGCGGTGGTCAGAGTTCACGACAGGCTTCGCAGACCCATCACGCAGCAGTGGGAGAAGGCCAACGACAGGCCTTATTGGTGGGCGTGCTCAGGGCGCTCATGCGACGGAGCGGTGTGGCAGCAGCAGACGAGACCAGAGTGGATTGCGATGGTTGGTGATCTTCATCCCGATCAAGACTGGGCCTCTGCCAGCATCCTGCTGGACCTTTGGAAGGCATTCGAGCAGGTCTCGCATCGGTGCCTCGCGCAGGCAGCCATCAAGTTCGGCTTTCCGCTCTGGCTAGCCAAGCTGCAGATCTCTCTGCACCGTGCGCCAAGGGTGCTTCACCTCGACGGGTGCTGCTCGCGGGAGTTGCAGGTCTTCCCGACGGTGCTCGCTGGAGACACGTTCGCCACGGGCTTCATGAAGCTCATGTTGTTGCAGCCGCTCGACGAGATGGTCGCGCGGTTCGGGGCCGTCACGCCAGCGATCGTGGTCGACGACCTGGTGCTCCAGCGCTGGGGGCGGTACCAAGCGCGTGAAAGACGATCTTGCGGGCGCTGCGCGTGTATTGCTGCAGCAACTGAAGAACGTCAAGCACAGTATAGATCGCTGTCAAGAAGTCTAAGGTCATGGGCAACTCACCCAGCTTGCGCAGCCACATTTTCGAGGCGCCTGCTCGAGACTGTTGGAGTCCGAGGGGCTCGTCACGCGGGCAACCTGGGCATTGATCATGCAGAGGGGCGACGTGCAGCTCGGGTCTTTCGGCAGCAGCGCCTCCCCAACGTCGAGCCTCGCCTGGGCAAGGTGCGGAGCTTCTTGGGCCTGAGGCGCGGGCGCACTGCCGCGGCCAGGTTGCGTTCACAGGCCTCCACCCTTCGGCGATGCACGGCGTCAGCTGCGCTGGCCTCAACTCCAGCGAGTTGTCCAGGATGCGCCCCATCGCGGTCCGAGCCGTGGAGCCACGGCCAGCAGGCAAGAATGCCATCGCAGTGCGGATACTCTCGGGGGCCAAGACATTGGACCCCATCTTCACTGCCACGCTGGGGCCTGTCATGATGCTGGCCATGGCATGATGCTGGCCTTGGCTGTATGGGAGAAGTGGGTACCGACGTCCATTTTGCAGTATACTTCCGAGTGGCACGTGAGGGTCGCCAAGCACTGGGGCGACATGCGTGGCCCGCTCGGAGCAGCAGTGATGTCCTTGCAGAGGATCGGGTTCACGTTCAGCTCCTTCATTGATTGGGTCACCGACGCGGGCGAGAAGCTCAACTTGGCGGTGCACTCTCCCTGGGCGGTCAAGCAGATTGTCACGCGAAGCGTCGAGCGGTGGCAGCTGGCTCAGCTGGCCCAGAGCACGCGCTAAGACATCTACGGTGCTGGCGGCGTCTTCCGGCCGCAGGTCAGGCGGTGGGTCGCATCGGGCCGGGGCTCCACCAAGGTTGCTAAGGCTTGGAGGACGTTGGCGCCCAGTGAAGCTGGGTCTGCCAGATCATGCCTGGTCGACGGTCAGTGGCTCAACGAGCGGCGCTGCGCGGAAGGCCTCAGCTTTTACTCGGTCTGCTCGCTGTGCCCCAGCAAGATGGGGACGCTTTGGCATAGGCACATGGAGCGTCAAGACGCTCGGCCATTCTGACTCTTCCAGAGGAGCTGGAGCGCTTCAAGGACAAGGGCGACTCCATCACGATCAGGACTCTGCTCGAGAGGTTGTGGCTGCCAGAACCGCTCCCGGAGTGGAGGCCGCCAGGTGACGACTTCCCGGCGCGCGTGCAGTGGATCAAGGGCTACGACGAGGGCCCGACTGTTCGCAGAGCCCGACCTGTTCGCAGATGGAGCCTACATCGACGGCGGCACCAAGATTGCCTGTGCAGGATGTGCCGCTGTTGCTTTGGCCAGAGGCGGCGATGATATCGGCCCTGGGCCAAGGTCTGCCACGCGTGCGTTGGCCTCCCCTTTGGCTGGCGCCTTGCAGCCCATAGACGGCGGCGAGCTGTTGTCGCTCCTCCTGCTTCTCAAGAACACCATTCCACCAGTGACAGCTCATGTTGACGCTGAGTATGTGGTGAATGGTATCAGAAATCGTGGGCCCGAGGCCAGTGCGAGCAGCAAGGCAGCCTGGGCGGAGCTGTGGGTTCGCGTCTGGCACGCTGTGCATGACTTCGGGGGGCTCGGCGAAGACGGCCTCGAAGTTGTCGAGGTCAAAGTTCACGCCTCAGTTCAGCACTTGCAAGAGGACCTCGTCACGGCAAGAGCGCGCAGAGGCAACATCGAAGCATTTCGGTGCGCCAAGTTCATTGCTTCTCAAGCCTACGCTCCCGACGCCATTCGGCAGATCATCCAGGCGAGGCAGACCATGTTCGACGCGCGTTCTTCTAGGTTTGGATTGCTGGCGGCATGGCCGCCGATGGCAGAGCTGACACCTCGGACTAGAAGGTCGCGAAGCAGGCCAGCAATGCTCAGTTGTCTCGCGCTGCTCATGAGGTCATCGAGGTTCCGAATGGTGTCATTCACTGTTTGCGCTGTCTCAAGACCGCGTACATCAGCAACACCAAGGCGCACTTCTGGGCCAGGCCTTGCGTGCGCAAGCCGTATGCCCCGTCGCTCTTTGGCAGTACTTCGAAGAAGCGACGTGCTCGAGCAGCCTTGGCGACGGCGGCCACGGCGGCGGCGGCCTTCGCCGCGGTGGCGCAGGCCGAGGGGGAGGCGCCAGATGCCGAGGTAACAGGCGACGGCAGCACCGAGTTGCCGAAGGCCAAGGCTCTCAAGACAGCCCAGCAGAAGATCGACTACTTGTTGTGGGCAGTTTCTGGAGCAAGCTCGAGCGGGACTGCGCGCTCGGCATCGGCTGAAAAAAAGATGTTGTTTGTGCGAGTGAGGCTCCTGTAGGCCCCGCTGCAGGACTTCCAGTTGGTCTTTGCACGCGCGCTCCCGTGGGCTCCGCTGCAGAGGCCCCGTGTGGCCTGCGTTCGGCTGGCGGCGCGAGCGCTGAGGATGGTCCTGCCTCGCTTCTCCCCTCGGGGTCCCTCCCCAGGCTTCTTCAAGCCCCGCTGCAGAAGCCCTGAGGGGAGCCCACGGCGGCGCGAGTGCGCCCGCCGATTTGTCAAGTTTTCACGGAGCGGCCAGCAGTCAGGTCGCCTCGCAGGTTTGGGTTGTTTCGTCTCGCCGCTCGAGCTCGCCCGATCGGTCTCGTTCGGTGGCCCTCGATTGCCCCTCTGGCCCCCTCGCTGCGTCGTCGTCCACAGGTGATGGTACAGGGGTTCCAGGAGTGGCGACTGGCGATCATGTTCCCACATCCATCAATGGATACTGCATTTGCACGCGCTGTCATTGCTATGCGAGAGTGGTCGGAAGCAACCACAGAGGCTTGTCCGCATAATGCAAGCTACCAGAGAGCCTCGAGAAGGTTGAAAGGATCGGGCTCGGGTTGCCGCCGAAGGAGGTGCAGCCAAAGGCGAAGGCTCGGTGATATGGGGACTGGCCTGGCGGCGGCGAGTTGGCTGTTTGGCACGCTCGTCCCTTTGGCGCTCGGCTCCCATAGGCTTGCGCCTACCGCCAGCCCGCGGCCGCCAGCAGTGCGGCTGCTTGAGCCTGAGGTCGTGCCGCGCGAGCTCGGCCACAGCTAAAAAAAGGCCCCAGTGGCTGTGACCGCATGCGTCCGGCGCCACCCAGCATGGCGCCTCGTGGCCCCGTTGGGAGCTCCACCGAAAGCCCCAGTGGCTGTGACCACATGCGTCCCGCGCCGCCAAGTACGGCGTTTTGTGTCCCCGTAGGGAGCTTCACCGAAGGCCCCAGTGGCTGTGATCACATGCGTCTTCCCTGGCCAATGTTTGCACACACGCATACACATACACCTCACACGTTTCGTGGCCCCATACGGAGCTCCATCGAAGGCCCCAGTGGCGACGTTTGACTGCGTTCCCCCGCTCATTCCGGCATAGTTATCACGCGTGTCGTAGCCCCACGGGGAGCTCCACCAAAGGCCCCAATGGCGACGTTCGCATGGCGGCCCCGCCCCATTCGGGCGCACCCCTCACACGTTTCGTGGCTTCATATGGAGAGCCACCGAAGGCCCCAATGGCTTCACCCGCATGCGTCCCCGCCCCATTTCGGCACACCATTTACACGCTTCGTGACCCCGTAAAGAGATCCACCGAAGGCGATACACACACAACGGCGATACTCCCAACTGCATATGGTCGAGCCCTTCGCAAGGATAGTGTTGGTGCTGGTGTTTTCGGAACCCGCCACATGGGGGGTGGAGAGAGGTGCACCTTTTGTGTCCTAAAGGGGCCCTGACGGGCCTCCCTTGGGCCCGAAAGGGGCAGGAAAGGTGCACGCTTCTCCCCCCATGCATCCCCGCCCAAAAAGCAGCGCCCGACTCATGGGGCGCGCCCCACGCGGCGCTGCGCCAGGCGGCCCAGCCGCCGCGGGCGGTGCCAGACGAGGAGGAGGACGTGTTTGGCTTCGGCGGCGGCATGGGCGAGGACCGCCCGGCGGGCGGAGGGAGGGAGAAGGAGGAGGGAGGGGGGAGGGGGGAGGAGGGAGGAGGGAGGATGGCGGGGGACGGAGGGATGGAGGGAGGAGCGGTGGCAGCGGCCGCCGCCGCCGACGGTGTCGACGCCGGCAGCGCCGAGGAGCGCCGCCGAGGGCGGCGGCGGCGGCGGAACCGTTTTCCCGACGAGCCTTTCGGTCGAAAGGGCTCGTCTGGAGGAGCTCGTCCAGAAGGGCTCGTGCGGAAGCGAGGTGGCCAGCAGCAGCTGTCATTCGTCATTCGGAGGAGCCCGTCTGGAAGAGCTCGCCAGGAAGAGCTCGGAAGTCGCCAGGAAAAAGTTCACCCGGACCAAGGGTCTTGCTGAACAATGTGGTCTGGTGAGTTTGTCTGACCGATTTCTTCTGGATGAACTTGTCCAGAACATCCGATTTCGGATGAGTTCGCCCAGACATTGTTCTGGAAGAACTCGTTCGGAATGAACTAATCCAGAAAGTTCGCCAGGAAGAAATCGTTGTGGAACATATCGCCGTCCTGAAAGAATCGTCCAGAACTCTGCGTGCCGAAGCAATCGATCCAGACGAGCTCGTCCGCAATACTTTGTTCCTGAACAGCTCGCTTGGGAGAACTTGATCAGAACAACTCGTTTTGGAAGAATCCGTCTGCAAGAACTCGTCGTGGGAGATGCCGACTGTTCTCGAATCTAGCTCTTGCCTTATCGTTCCTCCCAGTCTCACTTTTGTCCCACTATTGTGATATATTATTCGTGCTCCTTCACCTTGCTCTCCCTCTCTGTCCCTCTCCCTCTCTCTCTCTCTCTCTCTCGCTTCCCGTCCTCACCTGCAGGGGGCAGCAACTCTTCACCAGACCAGAAAGGAAGAAAGGCGTCCCCAGGCTTGGTTGAGGCTTTTCGCTTGAGTGACCTTTGGGTGCGGGCCCACAGGGACCACCCCAGCATTGGCTTGCGTGCTTGGTTTTTCCCCACACGAGACCGCTGAGACCCCCTAACGCCACGCACCAAAGATCACTCTTGCCTAAGGTGAGTATTACGTGTATCCGAATTGGATGGAGCGGTGAGGAGCAGCCTTCCCAGTAGAGTCCCCTCGTCCTCGCCATTCTCTGCGCGCCCCCGCTCGGGTTTAAGTGTATCCTTGAGCAGCCGCACGGCAGAAGCGACGGTTGCTCGGCCGGGGAGGCGGGCGAGAGCGAGGAGGAACGAGGAGGAGCGAGGAATGTCTGGAGCGAGGAGGAGCGAGGATTGTCTGGAGCGAAGTAAAGTGAGGAGCGAGGAGGAGGAGGAGGAGGAGGAGGATGAGGAAGGAGGAGGAGCGAGTAGGAGGAGGCAGGATGAGCGAGGAACGTCCGGAGCGAGAATGAGCTAGACATGTCTAGAGCGAGGAGGAGCGAGGAGGAGGAGGAGGAGGAATACCGAGGAGGAGCTAGGAGGAGCGAGGAATGTCTGGAGCAAGAAGGAGCGAGGAGGAAGAGGAGGAGGAGCGAGGAGGAGCAGGAAGAGTGAGGAGGAGCAAGGAGGAGCGAGGAATGTCCAGAGCGAGGAGGAGGGAGGGGCCAGGAGGGAGGAGGATGATGATGATGATGATGATGATGATGATGATGAGGAGGAGGAGGAGGAGGAGGGAGGAGGAGGAGGAGGAGGAGGAGGAGGAGCGATCGAAGAGGAGCGAGGAGGAGCGAGGAGGAGGGATGGGCCAGGAGAAGGATGAACGAGGAGGAGCGAGGAGGAGGAGGAGGAAGGAGGAGGAGGAGGAGGAGGAGGAGGAAGAGGAGGAGGAAGAGGAGGAGGGGGAGGAGGAGGAGGAGGAGCGAGGAGTGTCCAAGGTGGCCATCGGTACTCGTGTCCGCGAAAAGCAGGACGAGGAGGCAGAGGAAGATCAGGGGAATATAGGCACTGTTAGGGCCACATGCCAGTGTTGTTGAAGGCGGAGAAGTAGGAGAGGGATGGGGGGATGAGAGGAGGAATATGCAAGCCATACTCGCTCGCGCCGTATCTGACATCCTACCCTTCCCACCCATTCCTTCCCATTGCGCTGATTTCTCTGTCCGCCGATGCGTGTCGTAGCGGACCTGGAATTCCAGAAAGGACCCTTTATCGTGTTACGCGCAATCGGAACAAGAGGGAGCTGCGTAGATTGGTGGAGGAGGAGGTGGCGGATGAGCAGGAGGGAAATAATGCAGGAGCACGAGGAAGGAGGAGGACGAGGACAAACATCAGCATCAGGAACTGGAGTGGAAGGAGTCGGAGGAGCAGGAATACCGAGGGCAGGCGGACGAGGCGAACGGAGGGGTGGGCAAAGATGATGATTGACTCGGATCTAGAAAATCCGCCCGCGTTGGGGCGAGAGCGCCGTCAGCGGCAGCGAATACGATCGAATGGTAAGAAGCCATCAGACTCAGCTAACGTTTGGAGTCTCGTGTGTGAAACAGATGCGCAGAGGGGGGCATGCCCCTCCCTGGCCGTCTTCGGGGGAGAGAAGAGAACTGCATTCATGTCGAGCAGCAGGAGGAGGAGGAGGAGGAGGAGGAGGAGGAGGAGGAGGAGGGGAGGGGGGGAGGGGGAGGAGGAGGCCTACGGAGGTCTGCGTCCGGAGCCCCCCCTCTGGCGGCCTGATGCTGCTGGGAAAACGTCCAAGAACCCTCGAACTTCGACCCTCGAGGAGGAGGAGGAGGAGGCATTACCAATCGCGGGAAGCGGCCAGTGGGGGGTCCTCCTCCTCCTCCTCCTCCTCCTCCTCCTCCTCCTCCTCCTCTCAGAGGCTCCACAGTGGCTCCAGCGCTGTCCTTCCCCGCCAAGCAAGGAGGCAGCCAAGGTCCCCTCCTCCTCCTCCTCCTCCTCCATCTCCCTCCTCCTCTTCATGCTCCCTCCTCCTCCTCCTCCTCCTCCTCCTCCTCCTCCTCCTCCTCCTCCTCCTCCTCCGTCTTGCACCGTCCTGCACCGTCCTGCACCGTCCTGCCTTCCCCTATCCTCCTCGAGCACCGAGCCCGACCTCTCAGCAGGGCGCGCGCAAGGTCGGTTCCGGCCCTCCTGCGCTTGAAGGGTGGCGCAGAGGTCTCTCCTGTTCCTCCGGGAGGTCTCCCCGGAGGCCTCCCGGCAGGTCTCCCCTGCTCAAGAAGAGAAGACCTCCCAGAGGTCTTCTGCGCGCGTTCGGCGCGCTCGTGCGTCGGGGGTGCAGACCGACACCCGGCGGTGCGGCGCAGAGCAGGGGTGCTGGACCAGTGGGCCCGCAGATAGGCGACCGCCGCGTCTGGAGTCGTAGCAGGAGGAGGCCCAGGCGCAGCCTGCGCCCCCTGCGACCACGCCCAGCACTGGAGCTGCATCCGCCTGCAGAGCGAGTCCCAGTGCACCGTGCACCAGGAGAGGATTTTCCAGTAAGAAAACCGCCATAAACATAATTTCTCGGAGCTCCGCGCGGAGCTCTTGGATCTGCGCTGGGCCCCCCTAGCGGCGCGTCTGGCGCCGCCCCTGGCGCGCTCCGCGCGCCACGGAGGGGGTCCAGCCCCAGTGCAAGACATCAGCACGCACTTCATGCCACTTGTTGTTCTTCTAGATTGACATCAAGGTTCCTCTCCCCCCCTTCCTGTCCCAACCCACGGGTCCTCCAATCACCTCCTCCTGTCAACTGCTCGACGCTCCCGAAGTCGTCAAACTCCACTCGAAATCCGTTTCCCGTCCTCGGCTGAAACGTCCTCAACACCGCCCCCGATCACGCTCTGCGGGCGGGGAAGGGTGATGGTAACCTTTTGGTCTGCCGAGAGGCCTCTCGAGCTAAAGATGGCAATGGTGCTTGCTGTCATGACTGCTGCTCTGCACGGCGTGCTGTACACATGCTCTGCCATGCCTGCTGGGGGGAGGGTAGTATCTAACATCTTATGTCAGAATCCTCTGAAATACACTCGCAACTGCATTGTATGGAGTACAATTCACACTGGTGAAAAAGGGAACGACAACTGATTAAACACTCACCTTTATCTCATGAAAGAAAAATCCTTCGCAGCTGCTTGTCGTTATATTGCCTGCTGTTGAACACATGCTCGAGAGAAATGCGCCGGTCGATCGTCGCAATCAACCTCTCAAAACAAATAGCTTCATTGCGAGGGGGGGAGGGAAGGAAACTTCGAGACAGGAACAGGATGCAAAACGTGTTTTGCCGGGGCTCACTCACTTTGGCCCTTCAGGCCAGCACGGGATTCCACTAACTCTTTCGTCACTTCCCAGCCTCGGGAGAAACCCTGCGTAGCATGAACATATCGTCCGTAAACTCCGTCAGTCTGGCCCACAGATGAATAGTGTACGGGCCCTTGAACTCCAACGTTCCACTTGATGCTGCTGATCTTCACCTTCTGCTCACGCTTGTGTTTCGTCTTTCCTTCTGCCTGCTCAGGTTCTGGCTCTGGATGGGTCGTGCTCGTCTCCTTCTCGGACCATTTGCTGTAAGTCATGTAGCACACTGTGAAAAGGCCCACGATCATCAGGATGGTCGTCACAATTCCCTTGATGAACGTGCCGAGGGGAATCTTGATCACCACTTGCGGTGCCATGGTCCACTCGAGCTCCATCACTGCCGTCGCCTTCGCGTCGTAGATCTCCACCTCGCTGCTGGCTGCCGTCGTCAGGGATGCCATGGTCGCCATCGCCGTCATCGTACTTGCCTTCGGCCTCGGTGTTGCGAACCTCTTGGCCTCCTCCTGACGGTCCTTTCCGGTCTTCTTCTTGGCTGCCTGGAACTTCTCGTCAAACTTCAGGCTGATCGTACCAGTCCGCAGCCTGTCTGCCAGTAGTTGTCGCGCCGACAGCTTGGTGAAGCCGTCTGCGAACTGGCGCTCCGAGCTGACCCAGTACCAGCCCGTAGCGCTAGCCGTCATACGCTCTTTGAGCACCTGCACCTCGATGCCCGTCCGCTTGTCGTCGAAGTTGTGCACGTGTGGCTTCTGGGCCGCGTCGTACAGCGCCTTGGCGTCCACCACCAATGCACTCCTTCCC